GGAATACCTCAACACAGGGGGGAGGTGCGCTCAAAAACCCACCGCGGGTGGATGGAGGACGACGTGGGCGACCGGATGAGTCATCGCTCAACCGGATCGGACCAACGGGCTAGACATGGCGGCCGAAATAGAATGAATGACCAAATTGAAGGCCTGATTATACCAACACTCGCAGGAGTATCTCGGCACGGTTGTGGAGTACGATCAAAGCCCACAGTGGATGGAAGGAGGACATCACGGGCGACCGAACAAGCCATCGCTCGAAGAAATCGGATCAACGGACGAAGGGTGGCAAGCAGAAAACCTCCAGATAGAAGGCGTAAATCACACACCTAAACCGGGTAGAAGTGCACACGACGTGTGAGCGGAAACCTGGGGGTGTTGCGGACTGGAATTGCGATTCAAAATCGCGAGCGCACGTGTGGCGTGAGAACTAGCGAGTCGGACAATAAAGATTGTGCTTTATTGAACGCCTTTTCGCTACAGTATGAAGCTAGCAGAATCACTAACACTAACAAGGGAAGTCACAAATTTCGCAATAAATACCAAGGAATTATCCAAATATATACTGCCATGAAAGACTGCTTACATGGCTAATTGATTGCTTCAAGGGTCTCAGCTGAAGGTTTAAAGCTGAGATGTTAGCAGCGAGTGTGATATTCTCCATTCGTTAGCTCCAAGGTAAATGACACGATCAAAGAAATCACGTGCACATTGTCTCTGATAATTTACTCATGGCTTTAGCCAGGTTACACGTTGCGTGCTAAAGTCAGACACCTGCCTGGACTCCCTAGACTGAACGATTCTCCCCGGGAAAAAATAAAACATGCTGTACAACGCAATAAAGCGTCTTCAGAATTCTTGTCAACCATCCACGAAGTGGAACAGAGTTGCATGTTTGTCTAGACACCGATATCTCGTCTACATTGTTGTCTCCGGCTTCGCATATTCCAAACACCTAAAGTCTGTGTATTGAGGGAGCAGAATGTGTGCGGTCAGCACACTTTCCTACGATAGGGAGGTATAGACAACATGCACCCGTCAAGAACTCCTCCTGAGAACCTTCAAGTTTTGCCATTTCAATCGAACAGGTAAGTTCAGACGAAACGACTAAGTTTTGAACAGTGTTGTCTTGGATAAAGCAGATAATCCACATCTATTCGTTTTCCTCTAGCAAAGCCGCTTGCGACTGTTGAATGATTTGAGTAGTATGGGTGGTGGCTAATTCTTCAAGGACTTGCTGCACGGCAAAACTGTCCACTGGTTTAAGACCTTATGAAAGCTCAGTATTGCGCTACAAGGATGTATGGAAGCGTGGTGAGAAGATAACTGACAGTGGCACTAAATTCTGTGAAGCAATAAGAGCAAAGCGCAGCAAACAGGAAATCAGCGCATAAGTAGATATACTGAGGAAGAACCAGTAGTGACAGAGAACTCGTATAATTTGTTGGGGGCTGACACCGTAAGAAGTAACAGTGAACGTTGTATTCACACATCAAAACTTCATTAAAGTGTACTTTTCTTAGAATGAACTGCACTATGAGATTCTTTTAGGGTGCGGCAATTCAATGTCTCTCGAGACAAACGGAAAACATCAGTATGATAATCAATCAAAATGATATGTCAATCAACGGTCTACTACTTTCGCGTTAGTTCGTCAGCAAATCAAACTGAAGGACACAGTTTAGGTAGGGACGTAGGATTATTTTTCAAGACAATTAAATTTGACCACAGGTTTTTATTCGTGAAGGTTTTCATCCTCAACATTGCTCACTGAAAGCTCAGTGTAAAGTAATCCGTAAACGTTTGGTTATTCTTTTCTTGAAACAGGCAACCGGAAGAAGTTACCGTTTAATTTTGGCTTCCACCATTAGGCCATGCAACATTTTTCAGGTCTTTGTAAAAACATCTTTTGGGTTGCGAATCTTTCATACCCTTTGAACGCCACCATCCCAATGATCATTGGTCTTATGTCTTGTTGCAGTTACGTTTGCTTTAAGTGCCAATGTGCAATCCTAAGTCGAGGTTATGATGCTCAGTGCTTAATGAACGTAATCATTTTCGTTCCCTTTCTGAATGTAAATTATGTCATTTTTCATTCGTCTACTGCCCAACATCATTCAGACACCGTCACCAGCACTCGTAACACAAGAGTGACTACGAAACCGTAATCAGTCGGCTCAGCAGCGGTTTTTTTGATGGTAGTTGTTCCAAGGTTATAAGTTTATCGTTCATGCTGCCAAACTTGGTCTAATATGAGCTAAGCGGCAAAATAAGCTTTTTTGACTTGGAGTTGTGGTTGTGATCATCAGCTTAACAGCCGACACCGAGATTATTACGATTACAGAAGTAGAATAGGATGGTGCAATAAATATTTCGCGAAAATGAGTTGAATGGATTGTCTTTCGGAGGTAGGTGCATATCGGATGGGTCGTTTGAGGGGGCTAAAGTTACAGTACGATGTTTCCAGATGTCGACCGTCTTGAGCTCAGTAATACTTGCTGTTGTGAATTGTTCTTCAGAGACACTCTACTAACAACCAATTACATTGCACTAACATTTACAAGACACTGTTTAAAAACTTTTACCTATCTATTCGATATTGATCACAATACACAACTTTGAAGTGTGTAGCTCCCTACCATCAATCGGCTGCGGATTACTGTATACCGGACAAACGTAATCAGAGTCCAGATTCTCATTATACTTTTCCCCGATTAGAACCAGTGAATTTCCTCTTTATGCTCATGTCTTCGGACTGACAATAAGACACCCAAAAACCACTCTTTTCCTGTCGTGTGCACTGTCTACCATACGGTAAACAATTGTAGTGTCCAGAATCACTTGTGTGCACGGGAGTCGCAAACGACACACGGTTTGCCGTCCAAGCTGACAAATGCGATTTCTGGAATTGTTTATGTTTGGAGACAAGATTATCGATTCCCATCTTAGTTAGGCAGTTCCCTACCTCCAGACTTGCGTTAATAAGAAGTTCAATTTTACGTAACCCGAATGCATTGCTTCTGTCACGATTGTGGATCATAGATGAAGTGAACACGATCATGGTTTGTACCGTTTTAGATATAAATATCACTTAGGCTTTTGCAAAACAAAACTATCAACTGAAATGACCAGAGTTAAGTCATACAGTGGGATAGTTATCTTATGGGTAACGAAAGTTGTGTAATGTGTTCACATGTTCATTTTATTAGTAAGCAAATGATCAGGAGGACACGTGACGTTTGTTTGTGCATGCAACAGACGCACATCAGAGGAATCACTATGATATTAGCCTTGACTCAGACACAACTTCTGACATGTCAGAAGTGAATCTCACAAATTCGATAAACCGCACCAAACTATTCGAAGAGACAAGATTTCTACTATTCAACAGATTTTTAGTTTAGATCAAGCCGTGCCGTGGAATGTGTTCACACAAGTAACTGATTGAGAGGTCTAAGTAACCGATTCATAGTGACAACTATAGCGGCACGTACGGAGGGAGACAGCTTCGGAAGGTGGCTTGTCCTTGAATAAGTAATGTAATTAGAATGACTGATCATATAGCCACTTCATAAAACTATTGTTTCAACGACCGGTTTCCAACGGTAAGTCACCTCTCTTGTTCTATGCAGTTTAGCGATGGTTGTATTATTGAGCATATTTTGCACAAGAGTGAATTGTGGAGATCATTTTAGGTATTGCAACAAGGTCCAATCCTCCTCAACAATGGCAGCTAAACACATTTCTGAGACAGTTTTCAAACAAACCAATGAGACTGCACAGTATGTTCCATTAGTGCAAGAGTACTGTAGTATGTAAGTAGCACAACTAATAAAAAGCTGCTGCATTCTGTGTTGGCAAAACTCACTGAAATTGCGGAGGAGATAGTGCTTCAAGGTGATAACATTGCTATGCAACTCTGATTCAAGAACAAACTTGATATTTCCGTAGGCTAGTTTGCATTATTCTAATATTTTACTGAGAATTTTCGGATGGTCCGCTGCACCTGCACTCGGACTGACATGATCAGTAACAATCTCATCAACAGTTCTTTGTCACTTTAGTAAAAGCCACTGGACGCCATAAACAAGCCGTACTGTATTACATACTGCTCCATCCACACAACATACATCTGCTCTAAATCAGAAAGTATCAGACAACAGGGAGAGTGAGTAGTGTGTAATTTGGCCCACTGACCTGACGACTATGTAAAACGCACAGCCCCAGAAAACTCGCAAGCTTACAGACTTTATTAAAAACAAGCCGAACGCCACATATTGTCTATAATCGACAAGTTGGCTAATCGGCAGTATTTTTTCGTGCAGTTGGCCCAGAAGACATTAAAGAAGTATTTAACTTACTACGCATATAAGTTACTATTCATAATGAATATAATCTTACCTCCACCACTGTTTGTAATCCAACGCAAAATGTAGCAGCTACTTCGTTGTATGTCTGCGTTATGTAGCGACGGATATATGGGTGTGATGTTTAATTCAATCGATTGTTTACAGCACATTCATGACGTAGATTTATTTCAGCTCGTTAATCTGCGTGCCCTCGTATTAACAACTGATGCTCATATATGTTCGTTCAGGTCGTGCTGAGCTCGTCGGTGTAACCTGGTGATTACGCCTGCTTGGTATTTATTAGTGCAAGAAAATAATTTGACGGGCTTGTCGTTGTAAAATGGAAGTAACTGTGAAAATCTTCTCTTCAGTTGGGTTTAAACCAATGACACGGCAAGTGCTGTGCCAGCTGGTCTGAGTAGCCAACTCGGGCGCTTAGAAATTTTACAGTTGGACCTAGTTACCAACTCGAACCACTGTGTAATATGGAAATCACCAAATGATCCAGGAGATTAACTGCTCAAGCAAGACCTCTCGAACAGTTCACGCCCGAATCCACCAGAGCCACCGGTGAACACTGAAGTTGTGCTCCTTATAAGTAGGTTAGCAGATTCAACAACTTAGAAGGGACTCAGTTTTGAAAGCTATGGACTTTGAATGTATTCGAACCATTGATAGAAACATCCTACCCAGACTCAGTAAGTGCTCTACCAACAGAGCAACAAAGCCACGACAGACATCCCGAGATTTCACAGTTGGACCCAGCCAACCACCCGTTCCAATATACAATATTGAATCTTCTGACTGAAGCAGGGGATCGAGTGTCTCGACAAGAATTTCGGGCTTCCGATACGGCTTCAAAACCCATCTGGTAGAGCGCTTGCAGCAATTTAACACTTTAACTTTGTCATTGGTTCGAATACTGCCAAAGTCCAAATTATTCACAGTTGCGTCTTTTTAGAATATCTTCTTCCAATTAGAGTTCCTGCGTTCAAAAGTAAGAAGAATAGTACACGCGTTCATGTGTCTGTAATACGTCTAATTTGAAGTTAGATCAAATAACCTGTTTATGGTGATGTCAACTTTAATTTTGCCAAAATTGTTCTTCACCGAACTAACTTTGAAATGTAATTTTTACTAATTCTGAAGAATCGTTTAGTGCTTTTACGGAAGTTTCGACAATTTCGTTATCACTATTTGTTCTGTGACTATTTCGATGCATTACCAGAGATCTATGTTGTCATGTTTGTAGTCTACCTTGGTCTCTGTAACTTGTGCTCTCACCTTGTTTCGGACTGTTGTATCGTCTTTTATTCGTAGCTTTGATTTACCTGTTCAGACAAGTTAGATAATTTAGGTCCGATTGTTCTGCTAGTTGAACTAACTTCTCACACTGATCATTTGTACAGCGCTTGACAAAAATAATGATCACGCAAAATAGAAAATAAAAAACCAAAACACAAAAATCCAATAAAACCGTCGCACATGCATCTGCTTTTGTGCATAAAGTTGAGATCAGTAAGTAAGACTCAGCAGCACTTCTATAAAGTTTAGCAGTTGATACTTTCTACCACGTCCGATTTCTATGAGCGAAAGTGTGCATCTCTAAAATCTAGTTGTCGCTTGGAAACCAACGTAGTAGCTTGTCTAGAATGCCCTTGATTTTGCGTCGTCGAATGAAACATATTTCCCTCCAGCTTAATCGAAATCATGAGCGAAAATGGCTGAGTGGTCACATATAATAATTCGGTTGTGCCTAATATGAGGTCAGTGACGCAGTGGTAAACACGGTTGCCTCATGAACAGCGTGTCCGTGGTTCAAGTCCAGGCAGTGGCGAGGATAAGCACTGCTAACGAGCTTTAATGAGAGCGGAACTCGAGTCTAGTGCTTGTTTTTGAAAGGGGCCGACTGGAAAGTCTATGGGAATGTGTCAGCTGCGATCAAATGTGGGTGATGTTCAATCCATATGAAAATCAAAATCTCGTATTACTCATCAGTTACCGAAATCCGTCCAGTCGTTTTTTGATGCATTACGTCAGTTCTGTTTACGCATATTTGCACGCAGCAACCGATAAAATTGTATGAGCAGCAGAAAACGCATGGATATATTCCGTTATTGATAACTGAACTACTTTTCCGGTTTCAAGCAGTGTAAAGGTGTCAGTAGTATGGTAGATTTGTTTATAGTTGTTGTTTTAGGCTGATGAGTTGTCGGGTGAGGCAGATTCCGTTTATATATGACGGGTTGGAAAATGCGTCACAGGTGAGGTAGCAGTGTGAAGACAACAGATCTCCAAGAGATCCTGGTTTTCGCAAATAATTACAGATTATTTCCCAATAAGTGTTTTATGCCGTCGCAAATAAGTTTGTTTATGACGCGGTCTTGTGTCACGCAGTAAACCAGTAAACCATTTCTGTTCAATGAATTTGCACAACAAAGGTATGTATTCGTAAGTCTCTTTGTAGTACTCAGAATTGGGGACTTATAATAGCCCTAGAAATCGTATTCGAAATGACACCTCCACGCGATTATTATGGAGAAGACCTCGAACTGGTCTCACCAACCAGTTGTTATTCCTGATGCAACCGCTTGCATTTATAAATGTACATCATTGTTAAAAAATCAGAGTTTGTCGTTGGCTTTACCTCAGTGGCACATGCAAAGTCATAAACTTAACTGATTGATGCAATATAGAACAAAAACTTGGCGAATAACGGAGAATTTAACATTGAAGCTGTTTGTCCGGTCTTAAACTGATGTCCTGACGCGACGTTTGAATTAATCTCATCAGATCTTTTATTGTGTCGGGGTTTGGATATGCGGTGAATCGAATAGACTGTCATCAGATATTTAATGGCAGTTCTCAACGAAACTTGATCGATTCGTCTAACGACTGTATGTCATCTGCTTTAACATGTTATATCAGAAAGATATTTTCTAAAACAGGTGGGTGACTTGTAATACTTCATGGTGTTTATGCCCATTCCGACACGCCACCATCAGCTGTTTTTGTACGGTCAGGACTTTTACGTGAAAAACGATATTGAGAAACGATCGAGGGACTCTTTCCAGTTATGTAGTGTTTGAGAATGTTTTGCACTCCTTAATCATGTTCCACTAATGAAATTGATGTCAAAGAAATAATGACAGATTTAAGTGTACTTACACAATCGCTTGCAGGTCCACTGAACTCTGGGTGTCGTAGAGCAGCAAACAAACGCCGATATCCATGTCACTTAATCCAGTCCTCTAAGGACTTTGCAGCGAAGTACATACCATCATCGGTGGTTAGAACAACACGTACATCTTCGAGATGGAACAATGTTTTCAAAGCATGTTATGTGAAGTCTGCATTCGGTGGTGAAGTTAGAAAACTTCGGATGGTCTAGAGTAAGCATCAATAATCACTAGAGCATAGCATTTCCCTCAGAAAGGGACCACAGTAGTCAGCATGAATTCTCCGGAATTTTTCAAACGCCACACACCATGTAACCCATGGTGACTGTTTCTTATGAATCTTGTGTACGCATTTGGTGCAATTTTTGGTCCTATGTTTAATGTCTGCCCGTGATTCCGCCCACCAACACGACAAGTGTGCAAACGACTTCTTCTTATCAATTCCCAAGTGTCCAGAATGCAGGTCGGCAGAGACATCAGCTCTTAGGGTCGGTGAAATTATGAGGCGATTATCAAAACATAGCAATCTACCCGGAGTAATGGACAAACTTTCACGGCTAGAGTAAAATGCAGGAAATCAACGCTATTTATGTTATGCCTAGCCAAACTCTAAGGCAAAGATGATAGGAACAAAGTATTTACGAGTACCACATACAAGTACACTCAGTTTGCTGGCAGCGGTTAAAGTAAAAAACAGTCAGATTCACTAGAATTGTAGGTTAACGATTAAATTCTGGGTTAGTAATCAACATGAGGAATTGTTTTTGCACCACCACGAATACTGGTATGATTGTAAGAAGTAAGAAAAAATGCTCCAACGTTGTACCGCATCTTTGCTAGCGTCTTGTTAAAATGACACAGAGATTTTAAGGCTTTATGGTCTGTCGCAGTAATGGGTGACAGTCCGAAAAGATGTTTCCAAAGGTTTCATAACAGCCCTATACACTCCAAGTGCTTCATGTTGGGCCTGAGAATGCCCACTTTCAGCCCTAGACAGACGACGAGGATTGTATCTAACAGGTCTACTTCGTTGTTCATGAACTGCCCCTATTCCAGTGGGAGAAGCATCGGTAATTACAGTTAAATGATCTTTGGTAGAAAAAGGTTCTAAAATGGCAGTACTTTAAAGTGGATGGGGTAAAGTGTGAAACATTTTTTCATGGCTACTGGACTAAGAAAAGTCGTTACTGGATGAGGTAGCCAGTAAAGAATTAGCATGTTCAGCAAAATTGGGAATAAACCGTGTGTAAAGTCAAACTGCATCAAGGAGAGAATGGAGTTGATGTAAGCTGATTGATGATAGTGCTTTTGGTAACCAGTCTAAGTGTTATGAATCTGGTTGAAACCATTATTATCAATAACATGACAAAGACGAAACTGAAAACCTGCATTTCGTTGAGTTAATGGCTACGTTGGAATCGAAACATCGCTTTAACAGAAAGAAGGAGCGATAATCATGGGTAAATTTATCGGGATCATGAACAATAACATCATCTTGACAAATGACAGTGCAATCTCATTCCTTAGTATTTGTAATCATAGCATCTTGGAATACAGTTGACGAAACATTCTAATGGAAATGTAGAAAACTGTATCGATACAATCCGAATGGCGTAGTAATCAATGTCAAATTGCTGGATACTTCCTCAAGTGGTATTTGAAGACAAACACCTTTTAGCCCAGTTTCTGAGAAGACCTTAGACCCTGAGAAATGATACAGTACATCCTTGTATTTTTATGTTGTGCAAGTGCATTGTAGTAAGCGTATATTCAGAGTCAATTTGTAGTCGTCACAAACTCTTGGTGTAATTCCATCCGCCTTCACTGGTGTCTCTATCGGAATCATCCAGTGTGTTGATTCGACTGACTTTATTACCCATTTATGACATCTAGATTGCAATTCTTTGTTAACCGAATGAAAGAAAGATTGAATTCCCCAAAGCGTCAAGTCTCAATTTCGGTATTCACACTCTCCGTTAGGGCTTAGAAAAGTCGAGTATAAGTTGCTCAATATCAACCTTATCGATTGAGGTTAGGAGAGAAAGTTCAAAATGTAGTGGACGTAAAACTTTAGGTCTAAGGCTAGAAGAACTACAGCTTGAAACCGGGCGACTTTATCAATGTGACACAACAACCTACAAGAGACAATGAATGATTAGCAATGCCACAAATGTTTTTCCGTGTGGGTTGAAGAACAGCATGATGGCAAAACACAGTTAGGTCTCATTGCGAGATTATTGACTCAATACTATCGGTATCAACAATGAAATTGTGATTGATGCCAGAAACAGACATGTTTTCAAAACACGAGAAGTATTCAGGAGCAAATCAGATACAGAAAGAGTAGAAATGGCTTCATTCAGTAGTTGTACGTTAGAATTAGAATATGACGTCAGATAACTTAAATGTTTGGACTTAACCACCGACTGAGTATGACCCACTTTGCCAAAATCGAAACATTTTGTCTGTCTCTGTGAACAGGGACACCGGGAATGATTGCTTCCAGAAGATTCTCATTCCCCATATTGTTATTGAACGAATGGTCATTCT